CGATGGCACGGTGCTCCACGTTCGATGGCACGGCGCTCCATGTTGGAGCCGGTTGGGGATGGGGATCGAGCCGCAGCATTCGTCACCCAAAACGTGAGCTGACGTCGTATCGCTCGATCCAACCGGTCCAAAGTCCAGCGGCAGTCCAGTCCAGCGGATTGCCTTTGCCAGATAGCCGACATTGCCTAATGGCGATTGGTTCTCACAGCCAACGCGATACCATCGCTTTCTTCTGATGTCCCAAAGTCTATAAATACCCCCCACTCACGAGGTGTATGACTAGAATAGACCAATTAATATTCGTTCTAGAACGAAGCATGTGGTCCTGATGACGTCGAGCCATAATCATCCATCTGAAAAATACAACTGTTACCATATATCTAATTCGATTAGAAGGCGAAATTGGGAAATAGAACGGAATAATTCGATGTAATAAATGAGTTGCTTTAAAATCCAGTCCAAGTATCCCCAAATTTGAGGCTCCACCCAACGAATGCCTTGCTGTTTTTGTTTAGCTTTTGGCCGGCTAATCGCTTCCCTCTTGACCATATTACGATGTGGCTTTTACGACGTTTTTACGTTTCTTGTTTTGGACTTGTGCGCTGCTCAATTGATTAGCATGTGTGATATCATTAATTATGAAGATTTCACGCTCGCCGAGCATGGGTCTCTTCAGATTACCCTGAAGGACTATAATATGTAAATGGCTTATATTAATTAAAAGCTGGCTCTGATGCTGATTCTGATTCCATATCGCCGTTTTTCACTTTCAAACCTCATGCCAATCGACTGATTAAGTCCGCACCGAGTTTTGTTTACCTTGAGATTTCACAACAAAGCATTCACCTCAAATATAATGCGATGGAATCGCACAATATACCTTTCGCAATTTCTACTCGTATACTCAGGATCGAGGCAAAATCTCTCCCAACTTACGAGTATAATTTTCAAATCTGGCGCGCGTGCTGAAAAACACGTCACAAAGTGCGGCTTATCGTGGTCGGGCCTCTGGAAATTCAGTGTTTTAGTATTTTAAGTCATAATTAAGTCATACCCTTGATAGGGGTACTTCGCCTGTAGTCATGGGTTTGAACTGCAAATTATGGCTTAAGTCTAACTTAAGCACCTTATAGTGCATTCTATTATCTTCCGACTTATTCAATTCGCTTCATATGATTAGGAATGGCCTTATTCGTCTAGACTTTGGCCCTGCATTTGATCAGGAAAATTCTATGCTTGTCTAGTAAGTATTTGATTCATTTAACAGATCCGGAAGGTAAAGTCCAAATAATACGATTTCGAAAAGTAGAGTTATTGAAACGGTTTGACTCTACTTCTACAATTCCTGGTTAAATAGGTTAATAAGAGGGCCAGCAGAACAAAGTCTTCTGATTACAGAGGATTTCTTGTTGACAACCGGAAAGTAGCCAGACATAAACACAAATATACACTGTTTTTATATATTCATTCTGATAACCATTGATAACACCCACGACTTTCGATTTAATTATAAAAAGGAATTTCAAAAAATCATTAAAACGTAGATTAGTAAAGTATATATTGCATAGTAAACAATTAAGCGAGGCTGAAAAGCTTGAATATATTCCTATTCTTTTAAAATGGCAATATTATTTTGAACTTTTCAAAATCTCGCTTTCAAGCTGTCCTTGTGGTTGAAAATTACAATTAATTTCAGCTGTATAGTTCATAATTTGACCTAACATAAATATAAACAATAGCTAGCGGTTTTACTCACAGTGTTGAACGCTCAAGCGAAAATGGTTGAGCACCCATCGAAATTAAAGGCAGTAATTGAACCAGAAAACTAATTAGCAAACTAATTAACGCGACTTTTGAGGGCTGTTCTCCGAACAGGTGTGACTCCGATTGTGGTGTGTTCATGTGGGCTGAGCGTGGATCCTCAAGGAGATAATCGAACTGGAGCCAAAAATAATTCTACAGCCCGGACTACAAGAAGTGAAATTAATTAAAAATTCAGCTGAACGAGGGGGCACTTAATCAGTTCGCTGGGGAAACTTTCCGTTCGCTCTGTAAGTGCGAACAAATTGATATTGCGCGTAGTAATTGCGGAGCCATGAACGGAATTGACAACATGGACTTTGGAGCACTCGACGAGTTGAGGCGCCTGCATCCATCCACCCTTCCTTTCATCCACCCAGCCATCCACCCAGCCATCCATCCAGACAGACAGGCTAGACGAGATCGGTCGCAGATCGAAACTGAACCACGCAAGTGAATATCTTTTTTGGGACCAAAGTCCACTTACGAGTCATGCGCCAGTCGTGTGTGAACCAAATTCGAATCTTATTTTATCGAATCGTCTCACTCAATTCACTCAATCATCTGGGCTGCACCCAGAGCAATTAGCCCGAAGTGCCAAGGCGTCCACGCATGCAGCTCGTGTCTGCCGGAATTTCGAGTTCCCAACCCATCGAGATGATGATTGCCAACCCGTGACGTTGCTCATCCGTCCACCAGATGACGATGACGACAACGGCAACCACATGCCTTTGTGTTCACCTCTTTTTGCATTTGTTCAAAATAACACATAGCTCTTTATCGCCGACTAGTGTGCGAGGCGAGCCGATCTAAAATTAGCATCCACGAATATAGCGCTTCATTTCCACTTATTTTTGAATTGATGTGGTCAGTTTTTATGGTCCCAAGTGACACTCGAGCCATGCCGTACCACATGCCAAAAGTTTGCGGGAAAGGTGCTAATGTATCTCTAGTATCTCTAGGTTTTGAAACACGGAAAGGGAATCGGGGCTCTCTTTGTTTGGTTAACAATTAGAATGGTAGCTGTTTGAAGCGGTTGGTTCAGTTTCATAGGTAACTGATAATACGAAGTGATCAGCCCAATGATCCTTAAGATATATTTACATACGACAAGCCTTGACAAACTTTTGCGAGCGAACTGATAGGGATAATTAATAATCAACAATTGTAGATAAGCTCATTAGACATTAACCAATTGACCTTTGTCATACCCGTTGGGATCAGCATATATGTATTTCCAAAGAATTATATATAAACGCAATCTACGTGATTCATGTATCAATGCAATAAAGACAAAGTCTACCCTGGTCAAATTATCAGTTGTTCCATGGAGATTAGAAAAAGTTAAGAACTTAACTTGTGCCTCTATTGCACATCTGGACTATAAGCACTTGATAACGTGCAAGTGCCGAATAAAGCGAATATGCAAAGCAAATAAAACCATAAGCCCATTAAAGGTGGCACGTGTAGCCTTGCCGTAGCCTCGACCACCAAAAACCATTGATACCACATGGAATCAGAAGCAAAACATAGGAAAAAACCAAACTTTCGTTGATTGTGAGTCTAATCGGGTGATGCAGGCGAAAAAAAAAGAACCCTATATTTTTGGGGGGTGGAAAACTTTGCATTACCTCATCAAGTTGCCACAAGCCGAACCAATCATCCCAATTGCCCCAATTCAGATCGATTGGTCTCGATGACACAGCAACCCCAATAATGCAATTGCCCCACGGCCAAATCACATAAAGCGCGTGCCGCCTCGCTTATCGCCATTTGGGAGCAAGTTCAAGTGACCACTAGCCACTACTGCTCCCTGATAACTGATAGTGATAAGTGCGTAAGCGAGTGCGTGTTTACATACAGCTCTCCGCTTCAATCATCAATCATCCGCGATCGATCGCGATCGAATTGAGCCCGAGGACTGGCCGCTTAATTAACTTCTTTGCTGCGATTACCGAGGGTTCCCAAGATAAACGATATGGGAATCACGAACACCGAGTATGGCTAACCGCCTGATTGAGGCGTGAAGGTGACCACTATCGTGATTTACTTGCGTGTTGTAAAGGATTGTTAATGATTCATCAGAGGTAAGGCAATACAAAGCCCATTGAAACACAGGTCAACGTGTTATAGGGTGTTCTGTTTAAAACACTATAATTTAAGAGCTTACGTGCCTGGGTACCAATTACATTGGGTATTCATATTTCTAAACTAATTAGCGCTCATTAATACCACATACCAGCTAATTCAATGCTGTGCATGTACTCTCTACTAGTTGTTTAAGCGTAAAAATAATATTAAAACTATTACAATATGAACTTCTTTTGAAACAAAGAATTCGTTTAATTATATTATTAATTATTGTGCATTCAAAATGTGATGAAGTTGGGCATGTCAGCCCAAAAGTAGGCAATACTTTTGCATGATGCGCATTCAAAGCAAGAAAATTGAGCGGTTAGATCCTTTGAGAGAAATATAATGTCACATTAATGCCGTGTTAACTTCACTTTAGGTAAGTAATTTGTTTTGATTTGCTTGCAATGAACGAAACAGTGCCGCCATCTACAAGTCAAGTCTCAATTTTCATAGGCGGCAGTGGGTAAACATATCAGAAAAAGTCCGGAAAGTGAAACTTAGCAGAGAGAAGCTTTCTTCTGCAGCTTTTCAGCCCCACGCACCCATTGAATGTCCTTGCTGGCAACTGTGTGTGTCATTGAGGCACTTCCGCCCCACTACGCATGTACCGAAGAACATGCTGCGAACAGGTTCAGATGGAGCTTTCCACTTTACATGTGGTTCCCAGTCAGATGTTTGCCTCCTTTGGGAAATCTAGGGAGAAACTTTCTAAAATGTCGCGATTTTCACGGATTCCAGAACATCCTTTTGCTGTTTTAAAATTAAATGTAAAAATATTAATTTATATTAAATAATAAAATTGGGTAATATTTTATATACTTTAACATAACCTATATGTACATAAATTAAGAAATGTATGGAAAAGTCTATCTTTTGATTATCCTCCTTTGGATAGCAAAATCGTAGGGCTCAGCCTGGTCCAGCTGGCCCAGGCCCTTCCCCTCCAAGATCTCCGCTGGCCAAAAGCTCCCCATGGTGGACAGCACCCCGCCCACCCGCTGGCCGAGAAGCCAAAATCGATGCCCCAACCGGTTCGCTCTCGCTTTTTGGCGAGTGGCCCAAGCTTTTCAGCGCTGCTCCTGGAGCGTGTGGGCCAAAACGCGAATGAACATCGACCGTGGAAGTTGACTGCTGAAGTACAAAGCGCTAGGCTGAAGGTGAATGGGATAGAAAAATTCTTTAGCCCCATAAAAAATTGCAATGCCCATGGAAAATCGTACAAAAATGTGCTGTAAAAATTATGAAAATTAAACAGAATTGGTTGAAAGCAAAGCAAAGTGGTGAAAGTGTTTTCCTATTTGTTATATAAATGAAAAGGCCATCGAAAGCCCCGAAATGTATTGTGCGCGTGTGTCTGTGTGTGTGTGTGGGTGCGTGTATGCGACTGTGTGTGTGCGAGTGTTTAGCACGCGCTGACAAAAAAAGGAGAACATTTTTTGTGTATCAGAATTTTTTGCAGCAAATGTCGAGAAAAAATGGCAGCTACGCAAGAAAATTTTAATTGAAAATTCCAATGTGCAAGGCGAAGATGAAAGAAGCGCTGAAAAATGGGCTATCATTGAAAGTGAAAACGCATGTGAGCCACTTGCGGGGATATTGATTTTTCCCATCCGACAATTGTGGTGCTGTAGGCCAGTCGAAAGCCAGAATTTAAATGCATATCAATGTGAATTCGGGAAATCGGAAAACAGTCCTTGAACGCCCTATAATAAAATAATACAAATTTGCAATCAATAAGAGATTTTTGCCTATCAACTTTAAGTGTCGGAGTGGGAGAGAAAGAGGAAAGCTCAATTCAAGTCAAAAGAGGCCCTGAAAAGGACGAAAGAAATGGCCCTAAGAAAATCTCTATCCTGAATTTGCTTTCTTCGAGGAAAAAGCGAATTTGCCAACCTCCCACTCTCTCGCTCTCTCTCTCTTCCTCTCTCTGCCCACTCACCAATACGCACACACATGCTCTTTTGGGCAAGGAGACACAACACAGACACACACACACAAAGCCAAATTCGCTCTATCAATATTTACGCACACTATTGTACTTTGATGTTACGTATACGCTGCGTATCTCTCCCACCCTCTCACTCACTCACTCTCTCTCTGTATCTCTCTCTTCCTTTCTCTCCGCTGACATCCTTCGTACTGCCTAATAAATATGCAAATAAATATAAATAAAATCAATTAATTTCATTCAAAATTACACAACAAAGTATACGAAATTCATGTGAGACTAGCGAGCCGCGGCCTCACTAGCCAAAGCCAGCCACAAAAAAAAACCAAAAACAAATAGCAGGCAGCAGCAGGAGCAGCTCACACACACACATCGACAAGCGCCAGGACCCGCATCACCATATCCTTCCTGCCAAACAGTCGCCACTGCTGCCGCCCCTCCCCGCTCCCCTCGCTGGAGTCACGCTTCGTTAAACGCTGCTCAAAACCCATCATCCAACTAATAAATCGGACGATAAACAAGCGCATTAAGCTCCGCAGCGAACGAGCTATTAACGCTAGTCTGGATCCCGATTGCTGATTGGAAAGGAGAAACATTGGCAGCATTTCTGATTAGGGGGTGAGTGCTGGTATTTACAAGAACGTAGCACACTTTTTGGGGCAGCCCATCAAGTAAATAGAGAAAAATACATATACATTGGGCCTGCTAAGAAGCATTTGTCTAAAATATGAAAAAGGGTTAAATTTCTAATGTAAAGTATATAAAGTTCTATGCTGTATACCTTAAATTTTACCTAAATTACTCTCACATAGTTTTCTAGTTAACTGGTTCAACTCTAATTAGATTAATATTTATATAATGGAGCTTAATAATAGATTCAACTTATTCGAGGCAAAGGAATTCGCAGAATTTGCTCGCAAAGGTCGGAAATATTTAAGGTTTATTAACTTGATTAATTACCAAACTGCCAAATCCTCTGTCCAATCCCACACATCACCTATTCATCGTGTCCTGTCTTATCTTTGTCAAATAAGAGCTGAACCTGATTTAGTACTCCACTTTGCTAATTAGCTTTGGACAGCCCGGAGTTGGGCCTGAATTCCTGGGGGGCAGGCTATTAAGGGCATTGCCGAAGCATAGCAATAAAAATGCTGCAGACAAGCTCGGGAATCCGCACATAATTGCCAATAATCAAGTTGGCCCGAACAGCCGCGTACTTTTGACCCTTTGCGGCCCGAAAACGTATAGCAATCCTTTTGTGTGAAATTGGAGAATATGAATGAAATGTTCGAATTTTGATTTTGATTTTGAAAACATCGAGACGATTGTTCAATGAAAGCGAAAAGCATAATGATGTGGAAAATTGGTTTTCTCCGCCAGGCATTCTTCTGTCCTGAGGCAATGTCGTGCTTCATCGTCTAGCTTGGTTTTTCCTTCTTGTCCATTTCTTTTTTTATATTTCCATAGCCATTTTCCGAGTTTTTATTTTGTTGCCTTCTCTGGGTTATGTGCGCAGTAAGGAGAGCAAAAGAGAGAGAGAGGGAGAGAGAGCTGTGGGCTTTTCCGCTTTTCCATCCTTCCGCTCGCCGACTTTTCCACTCTCCGGCTTGCCAAAAAGTTTAACCGTTTCCCCATTTGGGAGCTTCGAGAGCCTCCTGGCGATTCTCTACTCGATTCGCCCGTATTACGTGCGTGGGTTCCACAGATGTTGCCATAGATCCGAATCCGAATCCGAACCCGAATCGGATTGCTATTCCGATACCGAGTTTCCATTTGCGGACCAGCTAGCTGGTGGGTTTGTTTGGACCCGGTAATGGGTAATGACTGCCTGTCCATCCATTCCATACTAATTTGTTGTGACAGCTTGATTGTCAGACCGGTAGACCACTCTATTTTTACTCGGCTTCTTGGAGTCCAGTATCTTGTTTGCAGTATCCTTTTGCCCACATATCTTATCGTATCACAACGCGAGCCCAGCGCTAATCTAAAATGCCCAGCCAATTGCTGATATCTGTGCTCCACTCTGTGTCACCGCAATGCACCACCCAGCAACCCACGCACCCTTATCAGCTTTTCTGCACCACCGCCCACAATTTATGAAAAAGCAGCAGACAGCTGCCTATTTATAGGTGCTTTGCCAAAGGTCAAAACGTAGCAATTATCACTAGGAAAGCACACATATCGTCCCTGATTGCAGCTCCGAACTGAGCTTTGAATAATTGAGCAGGGTCCTCGCCGCGAAAGTTCTGTTAATATTGAGTGAGTCCGTCAAAAGTGAAACCTGAAGGAGGTGTGGTAATTGAATTTTACAGTGTTTAGCTGAAAGCTGATGTTTGGTAACACATATTGGAAATAAAGCAGCTACTGTACTGCAAACAGTAACTTATTATTGCCGGATTTCAGTGTAATTTGCTTTACTACCTCATTGCCTCATTCCATACCAATTATAGCACTTTTCCAAGACTGCCCTCAAAAAGCAGCATTTTCTTCATGGTTATGGCACTTTTGACAGTTACTGGAAATGTTTTCCCATCAATCGAGGCCTCGACAATGAACTCACTGACCACTCGAGCTTTTTGCAAGCCCACAAAAAGAGTTTTAGTGCCAATAACAAATACAAGCAGCTGTTTTGGCCCTAAATATAATTTCGACACGAAGCCGCTTTGGACTGCGTAGTTGTTATTTGGCTGCCACTTCTTTGGGCCCAGACAAGTGGGCACCACAAAATAACCAGAACACTCATACGCCCCGTTGACCCGTGGGCAAAAAACAAGTATAAGAGTGGCACGAAAAGCTGGCAGAATGACAAAAAGTAGCAACTGCCGCATACAATATTTGTGACCTTCTTATGCCTTCCTGGAAATCATAGCAGTTGCACATCTTGGTCCTTTTAATGTAAAGGTATTTTCGCCCTTCTGCCAGGAAACATAATTCAGCTCGAGATTTTTTGGCGCATTAATAAAATATGAATAACAAAGTGCTCCACCTTTTGGGTGATTGCCATTTCCCTGGCAACTTTCGGGAGGTGTTCCTGATTGTTGCGTGCTCATTTATTATGGATGAGTCTGCCGGGGAGCAGGAAGCGCCTGTTTATCCATTTTATTTATCTGCCACTGCGCTGCAACGTAATTTGTCAGGGGATCACACGGAAATCGTGACATCTCCTAGCTTTCCTCTTTTTGCTGCCACATCTCTTTTTTTTTTGTAATCCACCACCTCGACAAGTCATTTCCAGGCAGCTTCTGTGCCGCACAACTTGTCCTAGATGCATTTAAATTTATTGATTTCTCGGGAATTTTCCTTCTGGCCTCAAGTGACCACACAGGCGTGGTTTCCCATTTTCCAAAGTAAAACTAGTCGGCGGCTTTAAAAGTAGAACATCAGGTAACTTAGTAATACAAAACAATTTACTAATTTATAATGAGCCTGTTAAAGGTATAAGGTTTATGGGCTGTCTTCTGATAAACTCTTAAATTATTTGCACTGAAATTGTCATTAAGTAAAGCGATAAGAAGAGGAAAAGAGAGAACAGAATTTGATTTTTAGTTGCAAAAATTGTGGAACATAAACAATGTTACTCAATTTGCGATGAGGAAATGTATATTGGTCTACCAGCAGAACTTTTCCTTAGTCGCTCTTGTTTAACTGCGAGGTATATACGTCAAATAATTTGGCGATGGCTTAGGAAAAATGCAAAAATGAAATATAATAAATATTTTTTGATAACATAAAATTAAAAGTAAAAAAATATTCAGGCCTGTGGTAGATGAAACATGCCTGACTATGCGAAAACCATATTCATAGCTTTAGTGGTCTCTTTGAGTATTATTGATTTTAAATATGTTATTTTTCTGCCTAAAACTGAATTAAAGCCCAAATTGTATTTGCCTAGAAGGCAATTAACCCGCATAACTTCATTTCGCACATTATTCATGCAAATTGTATTTGCAGCCCACCCACAATATAAACTTTATGTTGAGCAAACACACAGAGTTTGCATCTAAATTTTCCATGCGCCTGGCATCCACAACATTAGAATTTTAAGCATATTTATGGGGCCAAATAAACAAAGCTGCCTTCAGGCTTTTCATTTAAGCGGCTCTCCGAGTTTTCCAAGTTTTCCCAGTTCTTTTTCTGTTGGTGTGGGCTAGCGTGTTTCAGGGTATGGATGTCCTTTGACGTCATTTGCAAAGTAAACAAGAGAAAAGCCATAGAAGAAGCAGCGCTTTCCACTCATTTTCACTCTAAATTACGCTTTTCTTCTTTCTGGCTGAGAGGATAAGTGAATTTGGTGACATATTAATTTATCTTTTGCTCGGAATGCCTAATGGAAACAATGAAATACAAACAAAAGGTGCAAACAGTGGATAACGGACTTGGAATCCCATTTAGCATAAAATCAATTTGAAGTAGGAGTAACTTAATGTCGTGAATAAATTTCTTCTTCTGGTGTTCCACGTTTATATTCCACCTTTCATATTCTTTTGGCCGACATGTGTCGGTCAACTGCTGATGGATTCCCAAATTGCGGTCTCAAATGAAAGCAGAAATTGCCAATCAGCGAGACTTAAGTACTTTCAGCTGGGGGAACCCCCAATCCCCCAAAGACTCGGCAGTCCTTTTTTGCAACAATGGCAGTTCAGGGTCAAAGGATGTCTGACAATATTAAAAGAGGAGCCGAGCACCCAACTCAAGCAGCCCTCCGCCGTTCATAATTAATACGACTCAAGTTGTTAAAGTAAACGGAATGAAGTTAAATGCGGAAAATTCAAGCTGAGGAACTGCGAAGCAGATGGAGAACAGAACCAGCAGCTCGGTGTTAATATTAATGAATTCAATTAAAGGCGAAAGAGGGCAAAATGGGGAAAAACTGGCAAAATCGGGACGGGGGTCCAAGCCATTCAAAGCGTTTGGCGTGGGTGCCATTGTAAAAACATATATATATATATGTGGATGGGTGGGTGGTTGGGCGGCTTTGGGAGAGAGTGCGTGCCCTTGGTTGGCTAAGGATAAGCACTTTTACTTGGTGCGTTGCCACTGCCACCACCGTTCAACCATCCAACCATCCAACAGCCCGTTTTAGATGACGCCGTCAGCGCATTTCTAGTGTTTCAAGGATGCGTGTGTACTTGCTAACGACTTTTGTGGGATTTCTTTGCGGCCAGTGCTATTTTTAAAGCAGCAACAGCCTGGAAATTAAACACACACACATCCTTGATATTTATTTTCTATCCGCGAATCATTAAAACTTAGTTTTAATGCATAATTGTGACTTTACAGCAACAACACAGCAAAACAAAATGCCGCCAAATGCAAAATCGGAAACGGACGCCAAACCGGAAGCGGAACCAGCGCCAGCGTCCGAGCCGGCAGCGGAGCTGGAGTCCGTGGACCAGAAGCTGCAAGAAACACATCACTCCAAATTCCGTGAGGTGGACAGGCAGGAGCAGGAGGTGCTCGCCGAGAAGGCGGCGGAAGCGGCCAGTCAAAGAATCGCACAGGTGGAATCAACCACACGGAGTGCAACCACAGAGGCTCAGGGTGAGTGCAATCGAAATGATGCACTTATCTAGCTCATTTATATATTTGCATTCCAGAATCCACCACCACCTCATTGCCGGTGATCAAAAAGATCGAGCATGTAGGCGAAGTGGTCACCGAGGTGATCGCGGAGCGCACGGGGCTGCCCACATGGGGCGTGGTGGCCATCATCATACTCGTGTTCCTGGTCGTCTTTGGTATAATCTTCTTCTGTGTGCGGAGATTCCTGAAGAAGCGAAGAACCAAAGATGGAAAGGGTAAGAAGGGTGTCGACATGAAGTCGGTACAGTTGTTGGGATCGGCGTACAAGGAGAAAGTAAGTGTCTGACGCGCCATCAAATCTTAGTAGTTATTGGGTTCTGGTATGTCATAGGTTCAGCCTGATATGGAGGAACTCACCGAAAATGCCGAGGAGGGTGACGAGGAGGACAAGCAGAGCGAACAGAAGCTGGGGCGCCTCAACTTCAAGGTAGGTCCCCCAATTCCCAGTTCCCAATTCCCCCCAGGACCCAACCACACAGCAGCCCCGAAAACTAATCCCCAGCATACGAGACTAACTCAGATAGGTGTTCTATAAGTGTGGGCAGAGTTGATGTTCTAGACATGGAAAACACACTCACAGGGAGGACAATAATGAATACTGTAACAACTTCCTTTATAATCTTTCATGTACACTTAACAAAATGACATTCACCTAAAAATTGCGTTTCCACTGGGTTATATTCTTGCAAATTGAATTCGATTTGGAAAACACATTTTACCCAACTAGATTCCATATCAGAAAGCCCAAATTTTGCATTTAGCGGGTAATCTTTCCTTGTGTGAAACCCACATAATTAGATCTAGCCACCACATAAACATATTAAGCACACATTTCTTTTACCACTGTACTAATATACTACTTTCCATTGTCTCTTTTTGGCCGAAAACCAAAACCCCTGTTGTTGCCGCCTTTCGAATCTGTGTCTTTTTAGCTGGAATACGACTTCAACTCCAATAGTTTGGCCGTGACGGTGATCCAAGCTGAGGAGCTTCCCGCCCTGGACATGGGCGGTACATCGGATCCCTATGTCAAGGTGTACTTGCTGCCCGACAAGAAGAAGAAGTTCGAGACCAAGGTGCACCGCAAGACCCTGAGTCCGGTCTTCAACGAGACGTTCACCTTCAAGGTGAGATTGCCGCTGCCTCGAACTTCTCTAAGTACCACTTTTAAGTGGTTTTCAAGTTCGATTTGTATCCAGATCTATAGATCTATGTACTATAAGCACCATAATGTTGCAGAGTTTGCCCTACGCCGATGCCATGAACAAGACGCTAGTGTTTGCCATATTCGACTTCGATCGCTTCTCGAAGCACGACCAGATCGGCGAGGTGAAGGTGCCCCTGTGCACCATCGATCTGGCGCAGACGATCGAGGAGTGGCGCGACCTGGTCAGCGTTGAAGGAGAGGGCGGACAGGTATGTAGAGCTGGGCCGGGGTCCACTGCGGGGTCACCAGTACTATCCAAGCTATCCGTAACTCTCTCTCTGTCTATGTATACAACTCGATGTGCCTCTAAGTGTGTTTTTATCCAACTCAAGAACATCAGTTGAGATCTGTCTATCGTACTCTTATGATTATGATTTCTTATGCGTTCGTTAGTAATGCTCTGAGTTTTTTTGGAGCCGAAGGCAAGCCAACACTGAAATCGTGTGATATTTGTTGACTTCTGTTCTGTAATCTCGAACACCTACTTATAGTACGATGATTGTGTTTTGTGTGTATTTTGCATTCGAACTTCTGCCACGACCAAAAAAAAAATATATATGTATGAAAATACAGCAGAAAGCAATCCAAGCATTTTCGACACCCACCGATATTTGTTTTTTAAGTCAACGAACCCACTCCCCAAGACCCTCGAAGTACTTTTAAGGGCAGGGAACAAAGACAATTACAGTGAAAACTTTCCAAAACAGATACAATATCAACAAGACATTGAAAACTTCGTGGAACAGACAAGCAAAAGTTGTTCGCGTCTCTAACGAAACTTTATACACACCCAGTTCAAAATGCAAATATAAATAAATCAAAGAAATTATCTTACCATTTAAATAAGCAATACTCAACAAGAAAACCAACAGCAAGCAAGCAGGGGGGCAAATCAAATGGCACAGGTCCTTTGATTTTTCCCCACGCACTCTGACAGTTTTTTAATTTTCATTGAAAGCCCTCAACCGACACAACAACTATTACAAAAAAAATAAAACTCTAAATTTCTCTTTCTCCAATTCCCCCCTCTGAAACAAACCAAAAAATTGATTTCGAAACATATAAACTCTTGTTTTCTTGAACTTTTGTAGAAGGTAAATACAAAAACATGCTTTCAATTCTTACTTAAACCAACCAAAAACAAAAAACCAAAAACCCAAAACCAAAACCGAGAACTCTCTAACACCTTTGCATACCTTTGCGATTTGAGTTTATGATTTTCCCTCTATAACATATAACCTGTGAACTGTCGCTCTTGTACACAAAAGCCGTCTACAACGATTATAATAACCAATGCATCTAACCAACCACAACTAACCAATCGAATCTTCAATTTCTTACCTATTTCCCACGATAATCAATCAATTTGGTCTTGAGCGATTGTTCTGTGACTTTTCTCTGTCTCTACTATATTTCCTTATATATCCAATAACTATACTGTTGCGTCTGCATACTTTCTCGCATCATTAATATTGTAGTTGAATTTTTGTATTAATATAAGCGATTTATCTATGTTTGGGCTGTCTTGTTTGCAACCGAGTAATCAAAATGACAAATGTTTTCACATTTCCATATGCAAATGATCACACTGCAATATTAATTTGTTGAGAAAACCTGTGGCATAAGAAAAGCTAAAGTAAATCAGCATGGTTGACTGACTTTCCCTCCCACACAAATTAACTTCGAGCCCTCTCCATTTCCTCAAAACTTTTCGCCCGATTTCGGGCCAATTATCCTTTGCCATTTATTGACCATGCTGATCGAATTGTTTAGTTGCTGAATCTTTTACCCCCAAAAACAACACACACAACTCACACAATTTTTGTTTGCACTTGGATTGGAACAATTAAACGTCAAAAATACTGAAAACTTTTGCATATCTTTCTTACAGTAGTAATCAACTTTTGCACCCCAGTTATTTGCATAAAGTCTGTCAAACTTTTACTATCCAAACATACCCGAAACACGCTCTCTTTTTCTCTATTAAACCCACTAACACAGAGACACACACACACACTAAAACGCACAGAAGAAATTTTCTGAAGTAACAAATGATAAGCTATATAAATAAATGAAAATGTTGTAAAATATTTGCATTGATTACATTGAATTGGTCAAATGATGGAATGAATGCTCTAAAAATGTCTCACACAGATACACAGAAACACACACAAAGCCATGTACAAATACTCACACACAATTCAACAAACACGCACACAGATACAAGAACACAATTTCAGAGATGGAAAACAGCTTTAATTTTTCGCCTGTGAATGCCAGAAAAGAAATGGTATTGTCTAATCGAATGTTTTCGGAAAACCGAAAGTTGAAGGCATTTGCTGGATTTTAATGGGATATTTTTTCTAAATTAGGTTTCCGATTTAAAATCCATGGATGCATAGCTCAGGGATTTGCAAAGATATTATATTTTGTTTTAATTTCACTGATATTATTACTTATTTTCTAATATTTAGATGTCCTTGCGAGAAGTCAACATCTAAGCCAATTTAAATCCAACGAATGCTTGAGCCTGGCCCAATACCATTATGCCAAGAAAATAGGCATAAGCTTTATTACCAGAATAATACTGTAACTTTTTCTACTATGAATATTACAACTTACTTACAGTTAGCCTAGAAACACTGCAAATATACCATTCTGAACAATTTTTACTCTACTGCATGCCTTTCCTTTTGCTTACGACTTTATACCGATATATAACTCACACTAAGTATTAGAAATCCACACGAAAACATTGAACACGGACATGCGACCATTGATTGGTTACAAAACTATACGAAATTTGCCAAAACCACATTGATACTTTTCAAAATTCTACTGGAAATGGAATTCAATGATTTTTAATACGCTCTTCATTTTTCTCTTTAATTATTTTTAAACGTATCGCTAAAAAAAAAACAAACAAACCAAAAACAAATCCAAATCTGTAATCACAAAATTCGAAAACTCGACATTTCCAAACTGTACTCGAAATTTTTGACTCATGCCATGGGGAAATCAATCCGAAACCTGAAACATGCCCAAAAATCCATGTAAGTATACGATCGAAGGAACGAAGATTCATAATTATTGTTATTTGCTTTGGTTGTTGTCGTCATAAATGTGTTCAAAGTTCTGTTCGTTGTGTTTGTGTTCAAATTCTGTTCGATCTGCCAAATTAAACGTATAATCCAATCAAAATCGAGAGCCAATCCATTGGAGCAGTCAAAGAACGAATACCATATTCCATATTATATACGTAAAAACGCTTATTTAAGTCTTAAATTTTCTGTTTAGCTCTCTGTCGCTGTCTCGCCCGATGTGTGTACTGTACTTATGTTTTGAGTTGCATAACTTGATTGTGTACTGTAATGTGTAAGCAGAGCTTCGATGACAGTCAAATACAAAAAACAATGCTCAATAATCTTGTTTTCCAATTTCGATATTTCGTTCGATTTACCTTACTTTCGGTTTCGTTTATGGACATTTTTGTTACCATGAGACATTCACCAAACATTTAACAAAGAATATTTCGAAAGGCACCCAAAATCACAAATGATAACTGAACTTGAATCGAATTCAGAGAATCAAAATATTTAAGTCCCTAGAAAGTTGCGGTAAGTGACTCCGATTTAAAAAAAACTCTATAAATTCTCTATAACGCTCGCTCGCTCGCTCTCTGTCTCTGTCTCGCTCGCTCGCTCTCTGTCTCTGTCTTGAAACTTTTTTAACTAATCCAAAATAACACACAACCACACTTCCCATAGCTAAGCATTTAGTTCAACATAGTTCAACAAATACAGTTTCGTTTTCCCGGGTTAGTTTGGCCCTTGGAGAAGTGATCGAGGAATTGGCATCGGATTGGTTTGTGTTATAACACCCAGAAATCGAAGTAAAATCTATAAAAACCCACCACTGCAAGCGGTTCGAACCAGCCTAGGGTCCTATATGTGTTATAAGTATTAGCTAGATAGATTTTTCTTTTGTACTATATATAATTATCATGTACATTTTAAAATTCTTATTCATTTCGATGTTCCTCCAAAAACGAGTCCTACTAGAGCTAGTCTCTGAAATGTACATACGAATCGGCTCAACTATGCTTGATTTCAACTTCTTAACTCTCTGTCTTTGTATTTTTCTATTCTCAGTAGTTTCTAAGGACATTTTTGAAAACCAACATATTTTTGCATTTTGTGCAGTCGGTTTTGAGCTGGGTGTTTTCATAAAACAAACATGAAGTCAAGAAAATAGAACATATTAGATAACATACTACTCAGAAGTGAAACTGTAAGTTTTGGTAAAGTTATCAGTATTCAACGGAGAAGACACAAGCCCCTGAAAAACAAAAAAAAAAAAAAAAAAAAAATTAACACTTGAACAATATCAACGAGTTTACTTTCAGTTGAGTACTTTGCATTGGTTTCTTTAGTTTTTCTTTGGATATACTCTGCTCCCTGAAAAACATGTCAATAGGTATATACATACTATATACTTACACTTAACAAAATCGAAGCTCTAAGACGTGCAGTAAATGTTTGATGTACTTATTTGTGGCGTTTTCGTTTTATGTCAATAAAATAAAATATAATAAAGAACTAAAGTTCTCGTAAAATACCGTACTGTTCACCCCACCCCGAAAAAAAAACCCATAAACTTGAACTTATTCCGAGTGTATTTGATTTCTCCTACTTTCCACGTGTATAATCGAATATTCTTGGTTATCGTATATACTTGTTACTTTGCAACCGTATATCTATATCGATTACAGCTTAGTTCGTCGTTTGTTTAACCGATATATAACTTTGGGTGGCTAAAAGCAAAATAACTAAGTTAAATAATAACAATAAATTCAATTTCTTTCTGACATTCCCATCCTTGGCACCATTTTCGAAAAGTATCAAAACTGAGTTTTAACCGGCAGTTACATTTAACGGGTGGTTAATTTGAAGCCATTACTGGGCCAAGAGGATGCGGCTGTAATAATGCAAAACTCGGGCGACCCAAACCTTATATAAATATTAGACCCTATATACTTTGAAATGGATATGTATATGTAATTGTACCAATAGAGTCTGTGTGACATGTTGTTTGATGCAAGACCACTGAATCGCACGATCGAAACTAACCCACTAACCCATTTCCGTAAACTCTTCTCCGGATCTCGCCACACAGGAAAAGCTGGGAGACATCTGCTTCTCGCTGCGCTACGTGCCGACCGCCGGAAAGCTAACCGTCGTCATCCTGGAGGCCAAGAACTTGAAGAAGATGGACGTGGGCGGACTGTCTGGTAATGTGGCGTTATACCGAAGCGTGGGCGGGACCGATCGTGGCTCTGAGATGATTTTGTTGGGCCTGCGGCGGTCCTGTTCGCGGCTTATTTGCTTTCTGTGTTTGTAATTTTAGCTGACGTACGTTGTTCGTTTTATTTTCGGTTTTATGGCATACTTTTACTTTCATTTACAATGTATACAATATATATATTATACTCGTACTAACTTCTTCAGACGTGGCAAACGGCAAGGCAACGTTTGCTGTTATAACGAAAAAACGAAAACAAGCATAACCAAAACCAAAAAAAAGCGAAATCAATGAGAGCAAAGAGATACTACTTTTATTCCAACTAATTTTTGTCAACTACTTTTCTACTATCAATTAGCGCCAACTTATCAACTTGCATATTATCTTACCGTATTTAGCCCAATTCGCGTACGCTAAAATATCAATTAATTCATTAATCAGTGGATATATTTGTGGTGCGGCAGCGTTTCCATCCCGAAATATTCGCACAGTTTTTTCCTATGCCTGGCAAACCAATAGAAAAAACCAAATTCGATTAATTACGCTCTATGCCGAACAATCAAAAATGGCCGAAAATCGCTTGCTTAGCTTCACTTTTGCATGTAATCTGTACAATTTATTTGTAACTTAAACACTCGACATCATTTCGGGTCTCTGATGCCAGATGCCAGAAGCTGAATTAAAAGCGTTGCCGCCGAATATATCCAAACCAATTTAAAGTTCTTCTAGGCTTTTACAAACAACAGAACATTTTCCAGTATGTTTTTGAAATGCTCCAACAATAATCGGTTACAAGTAATTCGTGTAACGAAGCGGATAAGTTTTTCATATAAATTATAATTTGAAGCAATGCCTTGAGTTTAACAGGTTGCTGAGTTCCAAAATGTTCAACTATGGTACAATCACTGATTGATGTCAACCTTAAATGATTTTCAAAAAGTCAGCAAGCCAAAGTCAAAAATTACACTTTCAGTTGTGTTCCAAAAGTCTGCGAGGATTTGAAAACAATTCAAAAAGTTTCAGAAAGTATGAAGTGAGAACAGATTCACTGCATACATTTAGCTACTTTTTAGTGCGGTTTCAAATTATTGCATGTTTTTGAGGCGCCCAATGTATTTTATTAATATGTATTGACGTTTTTATTTTATTAAACATTTACACTTTGGCCTGTTTCTTGTTTCTCGTTGGACTCTTAATTTGATTTTGTGTTTGCAAAGTAAAAATTTATCTACTCTATATATAACAAGTACATAATTATTCAATGTTTTTTGGTGTACATTACTTATATGTGTGTAAAGCAAAAGAAACAAAAAACAACAATTTAATTAAAATATGATGTGTTAATCAGATTATTGTGGAAATTTTACTTTGTTATAAAAACGAAAATGTTTTCTTTTTCTTTCTTTCAATTCTTTCCAATATTATAGATCCATATGTGAAAATTGCAATCATGCAAAATGGCAAACGTTTGAAAAAGAAGAAGACAAGTATCAAAAAATGCACCCTCAACCCTTACTATAATGAGTCGTTCTCATTTGAAGTACCATTTGAACAAATACAAGTATGCGAGAATGTATTATACTATCCTATAAAATACCACAACTACTACTACTCTACTACTATACTACTACTGTCTACTGCCTATACAAACTACCTACTACTACTATTACTGTTACTACTGTTACTGTCCTCTTCTGAACTATCTACCAAAGAAACCAAACTAAACCGAGTTTTGAGTACCCAACCTCCCTCTAAACACACACTAGCCTACTTACGTGCAATCGTTGTTGTTAATTATACTACATATATACCGTATATATATATATCCATATATTGAATACTTGTATTCCAAAACAAGCGACAACAACACCAAACTCTGAACCAAACAACCGAACACTCTTAGAGACCAATCTTCGTATTACCCATAAAGATATCTAAACTTCCCCCCAAAAACTAACTTAATCAATCTTTGTGTTCTATAAGACCTACCAAAAACCTAAAAAAAAAAAAAAACAAAAGTATTCAATGTTAAATGTTGTAATTTTAACCAAAATTTGTTCGAGCTTATTTTATGTTTGATAATCCCTGATTTACTATTGTAAATATTCAAAACGAATACTGAAAGCCCAACAAATTTAGCAAATGTTTTAGTTTGTTGCCTTTGTTTGTGTAGTCTTTGAGAAATTTTTGTGGAATCTGATTTTTGTGGATTTCTGTTCTGAACTTGAGTTTTAACCAGCCTCGATGTGTGCTTAGCCCAGCTGATTTGGTTTATGTTTAAGTTGTTAAATGTTTAATGATCGATTTGAAGAGTATCTGGCAAGAGGAAAAGCAATGACAATCAGGCATGCCTAGTGGCTTAGGAATCCGTAAACTCCGGCAATCTAGTTGCCCCCAATCCACACACCGTCTTAGACGACATTTTGAATGGAGAGCAAGCCGTAGTGTGCCCGCTTCGCTCGCAACCGAGCAAAAAGCAACCAAGCAGAAAAGCATAAGCATAAAGCATAAAGCATTAGCATCCAAGCAGTCGAGCGGTCGAGCAGAAAAGCATAAATGCAAGAATGCAAGAAGCAATTCAGCAGCCAAGCACGTGCCTTACACACACTACGCTCACTCCAGAGAACTACAGTGAATACAACCTAATACAAATTTGAATACCAACTTAAACTACTCTTTCCATAATACAAACTATCGCAAACTCCTATACCAGCGGCGTCAATAATGCACCACGCAGCAACCAAATCGCAGTGGGTACATTATTTTGACACTGTCTTCTGATTTGAATATCGAATACCAATCGCACCACAACAGCTACAGTACAAATACAGTTTACACAGAATAAATACCCAAATGCCAACACAGAGAAGTATAGCGTATCACCATGAATACCAATCATACCAATCAAACGAATCAAACCAACATATAGCCAAGCGATCTGGAAACTGGGAGAACTGCGTTACGGTTACGTTACGTGTGCTAGTCGAAGAGTTAGCCCCTGTCTATAAGTAGGACCCCCAAGCCATGACCAATTACCAAAGAACGACAAATGGGATTGAATATTATACATTTTCGTTTACACGTATTTAATGAACATTTTTCTTTTTGCCACAGCTTAAGTGTCTGCTATCAAGTATCGAGAAAAGTAATTTGTTCATTAGTCCCCGAGGTTAAAGGTGGCGAGATATATATTCTCGTCCCTACATGAATCCGAATCTGCCGACATCTTCATATGCTTCTCACCTTACGCAAATCAAATGCTTTTAGGAAGTTCTTCAGTTTTGTTACCAACATTTATTATTTTAAGCTACTCATTCCTAGCCTTAGACATTTGCATGATCTGCTTGTTAATTCACAATCAAAAATATGAACACCATAAGGGAATACTACTCCACAGCAAGCATATTCCTTTTCGAAGGAGCTTTTTGTAATGCTTGAACGCCCTTAGATGTTTAACCACAACCAAAGTGCTTGTGCAAACTGGAAGTATTCCACCCGACGATCTCCACGATTAAACCTAGCCTGCACTATATCTAATATACAGCACTCAAAAGCCGAAAATACTCCACGTAGTGCCGAAAAAACCTCTGTCTATAACCTGCTTCCCAGTACAGCATTCGTAGTTACAGTGTCTGCCTGTTAGCGAACAACAGTTCCCACTTCAATTCCCAAAAACCACTTGAAACCCAAACAGAACACGTATATCGAAATACCGAATACCGAAAAGTTCTTCAACTCAAAAGCGAAGCCCCCTCCCGTTCCAAAGAGATATAGACCGAATTGAAAGTACCTGCAAGCAGAATACCCCTACTAATGCCGGTACTTTCCTTGAACCATCTTCCTCCCAATCGCGCACAGAAAATCTGTCTCGTTGTGACCGTCGTGGACTACGATCGTATTGGAACCTCCGAACCCATCGGCCGCTGCATACTTGGCTGCATGGGCACCGGAACCGAGCTGCGTCACTGGTCGGACATGTTGGCCTCGCCCCGGCGGCCCATCGCCCAGTGGCACACCCTGAAGGACCCCGAGGAGACCGACGAGATCCTCAAGAACATGAAGTAAGGCGGCGCCATGGATAACCAATGCAGGTGAGTGGATTTGGTCCAACTCCAAGAGGCACAAGAAACCTCGCTCTGCTGAAGAAAGCATTGAAATCGAACCGAAATGACCAGGGTGCCTGAAAGTATGCATTGTGTTGCATACTTTCAGGCACCTGCAATGGCGATTTCTAACCACTGGGGTCTCGAAACCCTAACCTTACGTGGAAAACCCAACTGGAGCTTAAGAACTAACCTCTCCGCTTGATCTCATCGTTGGCAGACTTGCAGCACATCTATCAAACGTATAAAAGTAACCAAAGAACACTTACGCGAACCGTCAGACATTGAAATCGAATGCATCATCATCAGCTACAAAATGATCCTCCTCACCCGAAACGACAAGCAACAATCAGCGAAATATCGTAGTTAATTCAAAAATTGTTCATCTATGCAGTTATCTCAACATAAACATACTGGAACACACAAAATGCCGATTAAGTAATACCATAGGTGTCTAAGTTATATCTCATTGGTTGAAGAGCAAAGCGAAGTGAAAGCTATGAAATCCTATATAGAAAGCAATGTGTCCCTTTCACTGGCCGGAATCCGAAATAGTTCGATCGATTTTACATATAATCACACATGATAATTCATTCTGAGATCTATGAATTTGTTCTTGTCCCTGATTGAGATTTTCCAAACTATGAGAATGTTCTATTTAAATCCAAAAACTCTATATACTCAAACTATTTAACGGATGACCGAGAGCGTATGATTTTTAAAAGTTAAGTTTACTTTTGTTTTTAAATTAGTGCAATGATTAAAGGAATCTTTCCGGTTTTAAATTTGTTTCTCAATCGTTGAAGGATTACTAGTGAATAATATTACTGACTAATGCATATATAAACAAAACAAGAACGTAAAGGCAACTTAAACTGTTATGTAAATTATTTATTATGTTTAAATTATTGAGCATTACGTACTTAACTGTGTAAGTATTAATCTATGTGTGTTTAAAAGAAATGGACATGGCAGACATATTAACAGGCGGACAGAAGGGAAATCATAAAATATATATTATATATAAATATTATGTATAACGACCTAACAGAATCAGACGAATAAGTAGAAGGGAAACCAAACAAACCCAAAACCAAAAGCAAATAACAAAAGTTAAACTTTGAAGCGTGATTTCAACGGAATATATCATCAGTTTAAACTTAATGAAAATATCGAACATTTTGCACAATGGATCAGATTGGAGTATTCTTTTAGTTCGAACACTTTGCTTTACAATAACTTTGTAGTAATATGGCTCAGTTTGGGAAAGGTTTCCATTTTCGATAAGTTTTTCCTTTGGTTAGCTTGGAATTTTGCGTTCGAGTTTAAACTATTCGTTCGGTAGCTTCTTCTTCTCGAATATTAAGGTTTCTACAACTATCTATGAGTCGTTTTACTCGTTTCCGATTTTACCACATTCCCTAATTTAGAAATCATATTAGGACCTAATGAAAATATACATACTAACTAAATGATTATGGCAAAATGTTAAAACAGAAAAAGAAATATTAAGAACAATAATAGTTATTACTATTTATATTATATTCAAGTATATGACATCTAAACAATATACATTTATATAAACTTGTGCTCCTGCTGCACAAGCCTACTAAGAATTTGGGATTTTTAATATGGAAAAGCGGCGGCAGCAAAACTTCTACCTACCTAAAACACAAACTAGCTAATTAAGCTAACAAAAATATAATCCGATATGAAATTGAAATCGAAATCGAGCGAAGGATTAACAGTGAGCCATGATTTTCTGATTTTTTCCATATTGAAAGTAAATGAAATTCAACTAATACATTAGATGTTTTTGTCCTGTAAATGGTATATTATAATGATAATGATAAAGATAAAGCGTAGTTAGGGATCTGTGTATCCCCTGTACACCCACTTACACAGTTGTAGTTATGTTCACTGAAGCAAGAGAAATGCGTAGGAGTACACAAAGAACAAAGAATGCAAACTTACAAATCGAGAAAATACCAAAAATATTTATGTAATATAATTCATCTAAATTTAACAAATCAAAGTGGACGCCAGGAAGAACAAGTTATGCAACTTATTACGAGTATTGTTCAATAAAAATAAATAACTTTGCTTTTCCAAATAATTACTGTAAATTATCTCAAGCCCAAAAACAGCTAAATAAGACACAGATACAAAACACACACACACACATATGTATTATGTATTAAAGAAATGGTAAATTACTAACAAAAATCGAAGCCTAACCACAACAGCAACAAAATGAAACAAACAAGACAACAAACTATATATACTTGCATATTAAACAAATTATATGAAATTATATAAAATGATGTTGATTATAGATTTAAATTAAAACTGAGAAAGTGAATAAAACAAATTATATATACACCTATATATAAATATTAAACAAAACAAAAGCAAAACTTTCATTTGTGTTTTCCTTTTAGTTGGTATACGCATAAATACGAACACAGCGTTACACTGCGCGAAACGAAGTGCAAGTGTTAACCCAAACGACATGTACATACACACCACACACCACACATGAGTACACCCACACTGAAACACCCACGAACTGACCAAAAGCAAGTCGAACGAACACATGAATGTACTATATTATATTGTATTATTTTCGAAAACGTTCTCAAAGCAAGCAGAATGCAACGCATAGCCCATCACGAAAGCACAAATCAGTAGAGGAAGGAAATTAAAGTAAATAAGATACTAAAATAGGCCAGAGATAAATTAAAACAAATGGAAAAACCAATATAAGTAGCAGTCCATGTACTTTTATTTTCTAGATATGTATGTATGTAATTTATATTCGAGGTAAATCAGGCATTATGCATTTAGCAACCAGACAAGAGCATAAAACCGCATCTAGGATTCCCTATCGAGAAAGATCAAAGGATCTGGATCGATTATCCTACACTTCACCATAGCTACAGTCCGTTTCCACTGGGAAAATCCGCGAGATCCGGGAATCCCCCTTAAAATGTCAGCCAGTGCATTTATTTTGGTCAAAGTGAGCACGAGGCACTAGTTCGTGGATTCGGGCTTGTATACATATAGAGCGCACCTGAGGGAAGGATCGAGTATAGTAAAGTATAAGTAAAGATGAGTAACGACAAATACAAGATACAAGATATAGAAATATGCGTTATAGGTTGAACAGACCCAAGATATAGAACAATGTTTGATGTTGATATGAGTTAATCTGGCCACCTAGCGTGCGCATTATATGCATAGATACGAACATAGTACATACATAGTGCAGGAGATAGGCCCTCCGATAGGATCATTTTATATACCCAGGGATCGGAGGAGGGCAGCCACATTATACATAACCATCGACAGCACCGCATAGTATGAACACAGCATACGGCATATACATAAATACATAAGTATCCACATAACCGAGCGATATGCATACATATACACCAGGACATAAGGTCCACAATTACTTTTCACAGGAGCTATCCATCCCTCGGTTCAGATCCAGACACTATATACCTACATACATACATATATACCTACACGTACAGGAACTCATCCAGCACTTACACTCGCGGATATCATTTTATGACTCTTTCCGGAGTTTTGTTGTTTACGATAAACTGTTTATAGCTGTTTTTGAATTTTAAATAAATTATATTTACTATATGGCAAAACAAAGAATAACACTAAAGCAAACCCATATATGATAGTAATATGTATATGTTTTAAATGCTATTACCAAACGAATCTTAAATTGATGCTCTGCAAGCAGAGAGTTGCAAGCTAAAGAAGAATATTACTGAATAAACTGCAAATATATATACACACACTAATGTGCAACTGTATTGCAAGACAAGCATAGCATTTTATTTCCGAGGCAAAAGAATTTAACAAAAACACACACCCACACGAACACACACACCCACACACTCCGGTCAACTCTGACACCTGTGCACGGTGGGCGGCAATCGCAGGTGAGCCCAAGGGCCCCCAGATTTCGCCAAAACCGTACTAACCCCCCACAAAAGAAAAAGCCCCAAGACAACAGCCACAGATAGACGATCTATGTAAAACACTAGCGATGTGAACGACACAGAGGAATGTTTATAAACAATAAACAAATGTTTGAAAACTAACAGCGTGCCTTTATTTGTGTGCTAAAGCTCGGACATTGTCAGGAATTTTAAACAGAATTAAGCTTATCTCGCAGCTTATCTCGAGCAAATTAAGCTGACACTTTGATATTTTCCCAAACCTGGATAGTTCTTCTCCACAATTGAGCTACAAAGTCAGTTTAGTTTGAAAACTGTTCTGCGGATGTTGAATATTTTCGAAAAGGCGAAATTAATCGAAGCATTCGATACGCTTGCGAAGCATTATCGATAGCAGCGATTACTTGTGCGCGACCAAGTTACAACTGTGCTTTGTGATTACTGCATTCAATTTCAATCGGGTATTCAAATCTAGGCCTACTTTGAATGATGGCAATTTGACTGTAGCTCCCTGTGTGCCACTTAAAGTGCCATAACTAATAGTGCCATCCCCTTGCAGTCCTTTTTAAGTTAATTGGATCGGAGTAGGCGAGGATCCAATGAGTTAAGGCCAAACGTAGTACTAAACTTTGAGGCCACGAACACAGAACCTTAAAAACACAGGGATAAAAACCGATATGAGACAGCAACAGTTCAAGGATGTGTCCACAGTTCGAATCCTGATGTTGGGCGACAGAGGTGGGATTACATGAATATATATGTATATATATCCATTGGATGGTCTAAATAGTGTTTTGTTCATATTTTTAGGTGTGGGCAAGACTAGTTTGACCAATTTGCTGGCCACTAGCGAGATCACGCCCACTCCATCCTCGCGAACCGTTGGCGAGAGCTCGTGGCGTGTGCAGGTGCGGATGCATGAGTATCCCAAGCCGGTGATCTGGCCGCCCACGCCCACCTGGACCACGTCCTCCTCCTCGGAGGGCTCCGAGAACTATGCGTATCCACAGAGTGCGCCCATCACCACTGATATCCTGTACTTTGTGGAGTTCTACGACCTGAACAGTGATTGGCGCTTGCGCCGCGAGCAACGCGATAGCTTCTATAAGAATATTGACGGCATTGTCCTCGTGTACAATCTGCTCGATCTGAGCTCCCAGGACAGTCTGCACGATTGGCTGTACGATCCGTTGCGGCTGATCTGCAAGCATCGCCATCGGCGCTCACGATCCATTTTGAAACGCCACCATGTCCCAATTCTGGTGGTGGGCACCAAGCTGGATAAGCTGGTCCGGCGACCATTGCGTCGAAGCGGCAGAATTGCCCACCAGCTGGATGCCGACGAGATCCTCGTCAACTGCCTGGATCCCGATAGCTTCGCGGACAAGGGCCGTAATCAGGGCAAACTGCGCGGCTTCCTGAACCGCGTCGTCGAGTTCAAGGAGCGATTTCCACTGTTCAGTTTCCGCCACTTGTGACACTTGTGTGTTTTTTAGTTTCCTAATAATACTTTAATATTTTTTGAAAAATTAAGTAGTATTACGTGTTTCTAGCGGATGGTAAGCATAGTTAAGGCCGTTTTATTTGAATTGGAATAAACACTAATGGTTTGTTCTTTGGTTTTTCAATGAAGCTTTCTTTAAGAATCTTGTACAAGGCTCATGGATTGGAAACATTCTTTAGTATTTTACACAATTTATTTCAATAATTCTCTTGGAGCTTACAGACCCCTGGGGGTAGAAATGATCTTGGATCTGCCAGCTACAGCTATAGCTAGGCTTCTTATCCTGGTGGCCACTGCATCTGGCGGCCGCCGAGGAAGTGCAAATGCAAGTGGTAAACGGACTGGGCGCCGTGCTTGCCATTGTTGATGACCACGCGGTAGCCCTCCTTGAGGCCAAGGTCCTTGGCCACCTTGCGGCCCACCAGCATGAGATGTCCCAGCAGATCGGCATCTCCATCCTCCGCCAGCGAAAGTTGGGCAATGGGCTTACGAGGGATCACCAGGAAGTGGGTTGGTGCCTGGGGGCTCACATCATGGAAGGCAACGCACTGAGGAAGTTTGGAAGGGTTAGCCTGATGCTATAAGTGTAGATACACTTCAGAAGTGGACCAAGTGGACCGTGATCTCACCTTATCATCCTCGTGGATGAAATTGCATGGGATCTCCTTGCGCAAAATCTTGCCGAAAATAGTGTCTTCGCTGGCAGCTGCCGTTTGCGATTTTTCCACTTCGCTCGCCATTCTAGCACTGCAGGTTGCTACTTGGCGAGAGCTGCACGCAAAATATAGTATATAATCGCGGCACTTTAGATAATTAAGCGAATTTTGCACGAACTCACCTGAAAACACGAAAGAAATTCCGGCCGGTTGACAAGAACATCGAAAGAGCGCTGCCAACTGGGTTTCCAAGCAATCCACACGGACTGGAAAATTTAGGGTATTTCGGATGCTCACACATGCGTTCTTTAAAATGTTATTTATAATTTATAAAAAAACAAGTAACATTTTTACAGGGAAATACAGAAGACTTTAGTACCATAGATAACTTTAATTAATTAGGGCTGTAGGGCCAGTAAAAACCGCAAAAAGCTTAGGTGCACATAGACGGACTTTGAACCCTGCTGCAGTATATGGAAATCATAAAGATCTTCAAACCAGTAAAACTGCTCTGCTGACACGAAGATCAAGTTCCTCCGTGGCAATAATTGGTGATATCAGTGCGCATTCTTTATCCGAAGAATCTGTGGGGGACATCGGCACTTTGTGACGTAATGTTGCCTCTCGCCTTATCGCTATAGTATGCTCAAGATTAGTTCGAAACTATCGGCTAGGTGCAAATTCCAATAATCCACTTGACTTGTCAGGAAGCCACACACCAGTAGTTCCCAAATCGAGAAGCTGCCGGCGTGACGGTGACGGAGAATCAACCTGTAGCCATGACCACCACGGAGAACGTGTCCGCGGAGCGCAAGGCGAATCCGGTGAAGTCCTTCCTGACCGGCGGATTCGGTGGAATCTGCAATGTGCTCTCTGGCCATCCACTGGACACCATCAAGGTGCGCCTGCAAACCATGCCGCGTCCGGCGCCGGGAGAGCAGCCCTTGTACAAGGGAACCTTCGACTGTGCGGCCAAGACCATCAAGAATGAGGGCGTCCGCGGTCTGTACAAGGGCATGTCCGCACCCTTGACGGGCGTTGCTCCCATCTTTGCCATGTGCTTCGCCGGCTATGCGCTGGGCAAGCGGCTGCAGCAGCGCGGCGAGGACGCCAAACTCACTTACCCGCAAATCTTCGTGGCCGGCTCCTTCTCCGGCCTGTTCTCCACCCTGATAATGGCGCCTGGCGAGCGCATCAAAGTGCTCCTGCAAACGCAGCAGGGCCAGGGAGGCCAGCGCAAGTACAACGGCATGATCGACTGTGCCGGCAAGCTGTACAAGGAGGGTGGACTACGCAGCGTCTTCAAGGGCAGCTGCGCCACAATGCTCAGGGATTTGCCCGCCAACGGGCTGTACTTCTTGGTCTACGAGGCTCTGCAGGATGTGGCCAAATCGAAGTCCGAGACGGGCCAAATTAGCACTGCCTCAACGATTTTTGCCGGTGGAGTGGCCGGCATGGCCTACTGGATTCTGGGAATGCCAGCCGATGTGTTGAAGAGCCGCCTACAATCGGCTCCCGAAGGCACTTACAAGCACGGCATCCGCAGTGTCTTCAAGGATCTTATTGTCAAGGATGGACCTCTGGCCTTGTACCGCGGCGTGACGCCCATTATGATCCGAGCCTTCCCCGCCAATGCTGCCTGTTTCTTTGGCATTGAGCTGGCTAACAAATTCTTTAACATTGTGGCTCCAAATTTCTAGTTAGTGTAATAAAGCTAGTGCCTCGCTAAAGTGTTTTTATATCTTGAAAGAAAATAGTTATTTGTATGTGCACATTTTAAATTTTGGAGCTTAACTAAACCTAAACGAAGTATTGGGGCTTGCGCATGGTGATGCCATGGTCGGCGAGAGCCGGAACCAGGTCCTCCATGGCCAGCGTGTACTTCCTATCCTTGGGGTTCTTCTTGTCCTTGCTGGAACTGTGCCCACTGGAATGCTGGATGTTCGTGGTGCGCGTCTTGCAGTGCTGCAGTGCGTCGTTGGCAATGTCCGAGATAAATTTCTGCGCGGACACGGAGATGAGGCGCACTATTTTGGGATCCACTGTGCAGAAGCCAGCCTGCAGGTTTAATGGAATATAAATAATGCTAAAATAGGTAGTTTCCAGCATGTAGCTACCGTTTTCAAGGCGTGCATGGTCAGGGCATCTGGTATGGTGGGCGTGTAGTCCTCCAGCTGCTTCATCAGCTCATCCATCTCCGCGTCCTCCACTGTCGCTGGCACCTCCTCCACGTCCAGTTCCTCCTCATCGGAATTCACGTCGGACTGCAGTGCTGGCGTGTCGGTCTCCTCGTCCTCGGTGTCCGTGGCCGATACCACTGATTCTGCGGGTGTTACAGTAATGTCCTCGCCATCGGAAGCCATTGTTCTCCACTTATTTGTTATTTATTTCCAAAAGTTTGTTATCCCAGCTGGCTTGTATGTATGTATGTTGTATATTAATCGATTGCGATCTGTAAGAAAAATCGATAGCACTGGCAGCAACAATTCGCTTTCGGTACATCGATAACGAGCATCTCCCATCACTACTTCTGCACTCTTTAATTTGTATTGTACTTTTCTACAATGGTGGGCTCCAATTTCGGAATTATTTATCACAATAGCGCCGGTGGCGCAGGCAGTCATGGAAACCATGGAAGCTCAGGAGGCGGAGGAGATCGGGAGAGGATTACACCAGCTTCTCATCTCAGCGACTTCATGTCGCAACTGGAGGACTATACTCCATTGATTCCGGATGCGGTGACCTCGCACTATCTGAACATGGGAGGATTCCAGTCGGACGACAAGCGCATAGTTCGGCTGATTAGCCTCGCCGCCCAGAAGTACATGTCGGACATCATCGACGACGCACTGCAGCACTCGAAGGCCCGTACCCATATGCAAACTACCAATACACCCGGCGGATCGAAGGCCAAGGACCGCAAGTTCACCCTGACCATGGAGGATTTGCAGCCGGCTTTGGCTGACTACGGCATTAATGTTAGGAAAATGGACTATAGTCAGTAGTTAAGGGCATAATAAGCCTCTTCTTAGTACTAGTAGTTTTCTCTCATTAAAAAGAACGTATCTTAAACATAGGTCTATGTATATTTATTGGGAAAGTCGAAAGGACTATGTTTTCTTACTCGTTATATGTATGTATTTTCAAAAAAATCCGTTTAGTAATAGGGATTTTAGTCCATAGAGCATACACAAGGTAATTTTTGTTAATATTGTTATACAAAAGCTATTAACTAGGCTGATAATACTAAGTGATTGTTTACTGGCATGTTATGAATTTTCTGAAACTGCGAGAGGTTCCTCCAGCCAGCCGGAACGCCAGGACTCCCGTAAGTATGGTGACCAAGTAGTTTATCAGCAGGGTGGTCGTATAAAGCTCATTGGCATTGAGCAGAGTTATTAGGGAGACGAACAGGTGGCTGCCCACTACATAGCCTATGTGGATATAGTTGTTTGTGTCGAATGCGTTAAAGAATATGACGCTCCAGAAGGTGTGCAGCAGGATAATCGACAAAGCCTGAGCAGCCGAGGTAACGAAGAACAGCTCAGTTCCGCCCTTCAAGCCCATTGTGCCGGGACCACTCTGAAAAACGATATATGTAATTACTTGAAGCATATTACGTATTTATGATGAACTCACCATATCAGCCAGCACATTGACCAGTGCAAACATCCCAGATATAATGCCGAATCCCAAGCCGGAGACGTAGGCCAGGATGTGCTTGTTATCCGTCACTCTCGTGTCCTCCGCCACTGCATGCAATCCTTGCTCCGTGCTGCGCAGGATCCTGTAGATGATGTAGCGAAAGCCCTCCTGGAAGCACACCGAGAAGACCACGCCGAAGGCCAGGAATTCCTTCAGCGGAATCAAGGCATACCACAGGGAAGAGATCAGCAGGGAAAGCAGCCAGAAGAATGCCGCCGCAATCAGAATGATGATCCGCACCGGGTCATTGGCGATGGTGAAGACGAACAAGGCGAAGGGCGGTCCGAAGGCGATGAAGGTGCAGCCAAAAAACTCGGGCAACGTCATCTTCTCTTTGTAATATTCCTGGTTTTCTTTTCTTCTGTGGGTGTTTTGGTTTACTTGAAAAGAGGAAGCAGAAACCCTCGTAGAGTTGCCAGGCTTTTGTAGTGCTTATGGGGCTGCCACACTGTCCGTTTTAATAGTGTAGATAACCTAACAGGGCGAAGTTGATTAGTTTTTGGGTCAAGCTAAAGTTTATAAGTTTTCGAAATAGCGAGAATTGTCCAAACAAATGACAATCTTTAAATCTTAGCTTCATTGCCCAATTACATACCCATTGCTTTAATTTACTGCCAAAAACCAAAGCCAGCCTTTACGAAATTTATTAACGGAACTGCAGAAAGGGTAAATCAAGACCACTTTTGAATTTACGAAGTTTTAAGGCTGCCAGATTGCAGAGCACTAATGTTTTCATACCCTACTATATGTACACTGTTATTAAAAAATAACTTGTTGCTAAAGTTATCTATCAGAACGCGATATGTATTACTAAAAGCTGGGTTTACTGAGTTTACTGAGTATAACCCCTGTACTATTTATGGATAAATGTTAAAGGCTTAGATTATTGTTGTTTTAAATGGTCTCTAAGACCAATACCCGCGTAGGGTGTTCCAGAGTCACCTATGCGGAATTCACACGCACAAAACAAAGACCTCCGTCCCACTTGCAATGTTTTTGTTTGGGGCGGAATTAGTCACTGTAAATTGACTCAACTATGCCAACCGCATAATCCGCCGTAAACCAGAAGCAAACTGCAAGTGCACAGCTGCGGATCGAAAACAGCAGCCCAGTAAGAAATCACAAAGAGATTCACTGAACCCATATGCCCAGTAAGCAAAGTGAAACCTCCAATTAGCAGTTCATCGTTCATTTGGAGCTCTTTACTTTTCCCCTAGTTCACGCCGTGATGGCCAAGCGGTCGCACCACCAGCCTTCCTTCGATGGGGAGCCACCCGGTCCGGATGAGCTGGACAGCCCAGCCATCGAGGCGGCGGCCCTCGACATTCCCCCTCCCGAATCAGATAAGGCACTTCAAAAAGGTAAAACCATAATCTCACATTTGCATAATATGTAGGTACATGGAAAAACGATCATCAGTAGGTCACAGTGGAAACTCTCTAAGACGAATGTGGTCTATATCTTCCTAGGTGTCTGGGAGCGACCCGCTAGTGCTGAATACAAGCCGACCACAGATGGCAGCACCGTGCTCCACTTTGACATCTTGCTGGCCCACATAATGCCTCCCGACGGCGAGGATGTGAAGATCAAGCGGTTCGTGGTCTATGAGCTCACTGTAAAGCAGGATGGAGCCACGGAGGACACTCAGCCGGCAAAGATTGAACGCCGCTACACCGACTTTCGGGAGCTTTATCTGGGCCTTAAGCGGCAGCATCCGGCAGAAATGGCCAACAAGTACTTCCCAGCCAAGGTACTGATGGGCAACTTTAAGTCCGAGCTGATTGGCGAACGGAGTTCGGCCTTTGAGGCGTTCCTCACGTATGTGGCAAGCCAGGCGAAACTCCGGGACTCGGAGGACTTTCTGCGCTTCCTGCAGCACGACGAACTGACCAGGGCATGCCAGTTTCTGGATGAGCGGCGTAACGAGATGGCCATACCCATTCTGGAGAACTGTTTCCGCTTGCTGAACAAGATATACATGAATCGATCAAGACCGGTGCTTTTAATACTCTGCCGTCTGGTGGCTGCCTGCACCTCATCCCCAGTGCCTCATCACGCGGCCGAGAGGTGGGCCCTCTTGGCACTGAGTCGCTTTGAGACGTTGTGCGATATTGATCTACTGCCGCTGTACATTCCCCTGCTCCACACCTGCGCCCACCTGTGGTGAGTCCAATTGAATCTTTCTACATTGAGAAAGGCTGATCTGAATATCTTATCCTTTCAGGTGGCAGCGCGGCCAGGACCAAAAGCCGATCACCGACCGACTGACTGACATGTCCAAGCAGGGCATCAACACGGCGAACACCGAGAGCCTCATGCAGGCTATTCATAAGATCGATCCTCGCACTGAAACAATTTGAATCGCGAATCTCCGCTACAATTTTCATACATTAGTTTAATATTTTGTTCTGTAGTTCTGTGTAGTAGTTGTCAGGCGGAAAGTGCAATTAGATAATGTGTGCAATTAGTTTTAAGGTGAAATGAGTATTTATCAACCTTTAGTTACCAACGCTGTCCTCCAAAGTAGTCTGTTCTTGCGAACAGTGTGTCACAAAAGCCCAGCCAAATTTAGCCAACAATTTTGAAAAACGTACGTTTGAATTTTTTTGTTTGAATGTTTAATTCGTTATTTCAAATCTGTGATTTCCAAATTAAAATGTTAAATCAAATTTTTAGAACTCAATCGAAAATTTTACAATAATTAAACTAAAATTGGTTATTGTCTACGTACATAGATAGCTTACATTAATATTGCGACTAATATGTAATCCGATATAAGAAAGTTATGTTCGTAACGTACTGCTTTGGGAACTTAAAGGTTAGTCTAAGCGTATTTATGTTTCATGTTACGTATTGTTTGATATCTTCTCTGTAGTTTGTATCCAGTGGGAGTTGTGACTAAACCGTGCACTCTTTTCCGCAACGTAAATCACAAATGCATCATCGAAAGTATATGACGCACTGTCTCAAAATCCATGCCTAAAATTCCATATCAGCCTGAAGAAACATCAGACAAATCGAACAAACACAGCTCCCGGTTTTTTTTTCCAGCCCAATGCCTTGTGATTGCTTTTTTCAATAAATAAATATTATACTCAAGTAATTTTTCAGAACAGAAAACGATAACTGGCGAATTTGGTCAATTAAATCTAAGTGGTATATATTTAATGGTTTGCTTTATGCCTATGTTTGTTTCTGAGTCATTTTAGGGTTTAAACTTACACCTAGGAGTGCCCTATTATGTAATTAACTTATTGCTAAATTCTGTGAGGATCTCTTGACCGCACTCAAAGTGTACAATACAAATTATATATAACTTATTACGTCAAACAATCGATTCAACTATATTATAAATAGAGGGGTACGTGCGTTTTTAACAAATTCCTAGCACCCTTGCCACATTACATACATCATTCAAAATGTACAGAATCAACCAAATCCATCTCTATCCGTCTATCTGATTAGCGGAAGAGTCGCGTGAAGGTTTTCAAGGCTTGAGAAATTGCTTTCGTTGTGTCCGCTCTGCAAGAAGAAATTAAGTTGAAGCTAATGCAAAGCGTATGTTGGCAAAACCTCACCTCAGAACTGTGCTGCTGAATTCGTCCAGCTGCTGCTGCGTGGCTGTCACGTAGCCACCGCTGTTCTTTTTGGGCAGTGCCTCTAGCGCCTGGGCCAGGAACGGCTGCATCCGCTCGTTGCCCACCACCTGCTTCAGTTCGTGGAGCACCTCGGCCACATCCACCAGCATGTAGGAGTGCAGTTCAAAGACCGAAGCTTGTATCAAGTTCATCACCAGAGCTCCGCCATGCTGACTCGCCAGCTCCACCACCAAGGGACGGCACTCGGCATTTCGGCTGTGGTTATTCGATCTGCCCCAAACCAACAGGTTGATAAAGAACTTCATCACGGAGGAGTTCGCCTCGCGGTGGTCCAATGAGCAGGCTATTAAAGCGCACTGGAAGATCGGCGTGATGAGACTGCTCTGGAGCAGTTGGTGGGGACAACAGTCCAAATAACGCGATGCCAAACGAAAGAAATCATCCACTGTGTCTGGGTTATTTTTCAGGCCGTTCTCCATCTGCAGCAGGCCAAAGGTGGGTTCAATAAATGCCTGAAGCATCTCCAACAGTCCGCCAATGCACTCGCTGGACTTTGCGAACTCATCCACCAGTATGGAGCCCACGTAGAGGAAGCAACTGTGGTGCTGCACAGCATACAGCACCACCATTTGTTTGATCAGCGGTTCCACGAGCAGCATCGCTTGCTTTCTCACCATCCGAATGCCGTAGCGAATCAGTCGGCAGGTGCGCTCCATGATACGTAGGTCGCTCTGGTACTTATCCATCACCCGTGATATCAGCTGCCAGGCGTCGTTCAGAATAGCTACCGTGGGGTGTTCCACGTTGTCGGGAACGTCGGGATTTGTGTGTCGGATAATGGCGCAGGCGCGGTCTATCCAGTAAACGGGATCGGTGCGCTCTCCCTTTTGAGCACTACCTCCAGTGCTGTCCACCAGTTGAGCCAGCGGTTGCAGCTGGAAGCCGACGATTTCCCGCAGAGCAGGCTGCAGTTGCTCGCGTGGCAGGCGAGTCAGTATAAGAGATATGCCCTTTAGCAATCCTATTGCCACATCGTTGTTTATTTGAAAGCTGTCCAGACTGCGAGCGATCTCCACAAGACCACTGATGTGGCACACCATCTTCTGTCGGCAGGCGGAGCAAATGGAGGTCAATGCAATGGCCGCAGCTGGCGCCAAGCCATTCTTCTGCTGCAGGGCGTAGAGCAGAAAGTTGAGCACTGCCTCCAGGGATTCAGCATGGTTCTCAATCCAGTCGCACAGTTCCCCGATCAGAAGAATCGCCGTGTACCTAACTGCTATGTGCGTTTGCTCCGACATATTAAGAATCGCCTCCACCACCTTGGGGATCACCTCGTTCTCATCTCTGCAAGGTAAGTATTGTAAATCTGATATTGTACCACACAGTTTCATACGTACGGCAGTATATTTTTGGCTACATTCTGCATAATGAACAGTGCTGCCTCCGTGGACTCCCACGTAGTCTCTGGTGCTTGCAGGATATGAAACATTTGCTTAAAGCACGCACCGGATCCCACGATAAAGGCCACGTCTTTTATCAGATCTGAGACCTTGCGTCGAAAGTCCTGAAAGTTAAATAGTTTTAAGCTTAGTAAAAATGTTATCAAACATTAGGCGAAACTATAAATATAAAGTCTCTATTGTTTTGCGAGTTGAAGTTGTAAAAGTAGAGAACTAAGCTAGCTTCATTTCAAAATAAACCGGTTCTACACATAAATGCCTAGTTGGCTTACACCTTCCCAGCAATTAATAATTTGACAACCTGATGAAATAAAATAGCTTATTCATTGAAGATACGAAACTTCAAAGAAATCTGTAAAAAGTGAGCTTCTAAATGTCTATGAATCACACACTCACAAAGAAATTGTTGTTCTCCTCGATGAGACCATCGTGGTCGCTTTCCATCTGCGAGTGGCGAAACAGGGCGCTTATCAGCCGCTCAATGTGCGGCCGGAATAGAGCCGTCAGCTTATCCTCGTTGCGCTGGAAGAGATCCTCGCTGAGCTTGTACCATAGGTGGAAGGTGATCTCGGCCACCTCGTAGTCGAAGTGTCCGACACAAAGTAGCACCAGATCCAGTCCTTTCAAACTGAAGTGTGGCTTGTGGGCATCAGCCAATAAATCGTAGAAGAAGGCATCGCACAACGAAGTGAAAATCCTGCAATAGTTGATCGTCTTATCGGTGTCCTCGTGCGCCACACTCAAGTGATAGGGAGTCTCCAGCATGCAGACAGCTCCGAAGACCTGTGCCTCGAAGGAGGACTCCGGTTCACTGGCACTATCCTGTCGTGTGTTTATGCAGGAGAGCAAGGCACACACGCACTCCGTGGCATTGTCGTGCAGCTTTCCAGTAGTCTCCGGCAGCGAGAGCAACCGGAAGGCCAGCTGGGTGAGGGCGTTATTGTACACATGCGAGACGGGAAAGGCATGGATCACCAGCCAGGCACTGTAGGTGCGCAACGCTGCATTCCACACGCGCTGCTGGTCGAGATCCTCCCGCTGTAGGCACATGCACAGGAACTTCAGGACGCACTCTGCGCTGGCGTCCAGCTGCTTGTGCACTTCCTCGCGCCGGTTGGCGCCCAGCCGCAGATACCGGGAGTCTATTTCCTCGGGCAGCACCTTGAGCACCTCCAGCAGGGGCCAGATGGCGCACTGATGCGGCGCCAGTGTTACCAGGAGATCGTTGATCGGCTCCCGCCAACTGGCCATCAGCAGGGCCAGATCAGCGACCGCCAAACTGAGCTGTGTCACAATCACATTGTCCGTCTGCTCGTCGATCTGGCCTATGTGTGTGATCAGGGAATCCCGCAGAGACTCGTGTGTGTGCGGTGGCAGTTCGCTGAAGGAGTTCTGGATCTTGTTCCGCATTGTCTGGGCAGCAAAGTAGTTGGCGTGGAGGTCTCGCTTTTGGTGCAACAGCTCGTCCGCAATCGTCCAAGAATAGATCTTTAAATGATTCCAACAAAAAACTTAGCCATTGCAGGGAGGTTTCGTACACCGGGCGACTATCACTCACCGACTTCTGGAAGTCCTGCAGCCATTTGTTGGCCTTTTCCTGCTCCTTGGGGTTGTTGCCCTGGAAGAGGGCGCTGATCGCTTGGTACACCACGTCCACCGAGTACGTATCCATTTCATCGGCAGCTTTAATCAGCGCATAAATTTTCTTAATTACTTATTATTATACTTTATTAGCGATGGCTGAGTGCGTACATCCCGTGTATCGATAACGCAAGGAGGTGGCGTGCGATAACTTCGGAATGTGCACGTCCGATAGTCTGAAGGACTCCGTGAATGCCACAGGGTTGTCAACTACTTTAAATATTAAAGCTAATGAAAGGAATTATTATATATTCGACATAAGCCAATTTTTAATTTGTCTAAACGTCTGATAACTTTTAAAAGCAATTTACCATATGCTTATGACATTTTAGCAATAAAATACCTTGTGTGACTATCGAAATACTTGCCACCCGTAAATATTCGATTCATCGATACCATTGGGGGCTCTTAACAACATCTCCAATTCGTTTTCTGATCAGAATTCTGCAATGGATTCGGACAGCACCGTCACTTCCTTGGAGGAGAACACGGAGAACTTCTGCACGAATCCCACGCGTGACATCCTCGCCGAGGGCATCACCAATCTCTTCAAGCCGACCATCGAGCGGCTGGACGAGCGCGTGGCCTCCACCATCCAGTTGCAGGCGGAGCTCCGTGGCCAACTGGACGCACTGGCCGCCCAGCTGAGGGACATCGAAAAGGCGCAGAGTCAGATACCCGAGTTCGCGGACAAGGTGAAGGAGCTGCTGAACGTGAAGCACAAGGTGACGGTCATCAGTAACGTGTTGGTGACCAGCCAGGAGCGGCTCACGGGTCTGCACAAGCTGATAGAGAAGGAGCAGCGCCGGCGACAGGCGCTCCTGGACTCCGCGCTCAGCACCAACATATCCTAAACCTAAATACTGACCGTCATGGAGACGCCCTACACCGACCACTTGAGCCTGGAGGACTTTGAACACGTTTACGAGCCAGCGGAGGACTCGTTCCTGCTGCTGGATGCCCT